GTAATGCGGCTTCGGGGCGTCAGCACGGGAGGAGGGAGCTCCAATTTGAGACGATTTACTTCGGCTCGGATGTGAGGAGGCAGGCGGCGCATGCTGCTCTCCACAAGGTGCCTCGGATTGGGATCTTCCGTCATGCGTGCTTTGAGTCTCAGGGAATGGGGTTTAGGTTTAGGGTTTAGGGTTTAGGAATGACTTAGGACATCAGAAGTGCTGATGGAATTGATGGGTGCTTCTCACGCGAACGACTAGGATATGCCGGGATGCATGAATGACATCCGCATGGGCCGCAATGTCCCCATTGGAATAGGCTCGCATTGAGCTCCTCGTACCTCTGCCTTGAGCAGCTCGATGAGACCGTCAACACGCGGAATGAGGCCTTCTTTCGCCGCTTTCTTGATGATAATCGGCAGGAAGGTCACGAGAAGCTTCTGGTCGCTTGCGGCAAGAAGACTCTGCCGCAGCTGCCAGTCTGGTTTGGGAATCGGACGGTGCGGGAAATGGCAGTAAGCACATGCCATCTCTCTTGGGCACACATGGCCTTTGGCGATGTGAACGCACGGTCTGCTGCAAAAGTGGGGGTGGCCGAAGCTGCCGATACCGAAGCGTAGGTTTTGTGCTTTGGGCAAGGGCGCTTCTGGGACTTCCAGACCTGGAGGTGGCAGGACCCCTTCAGGCCAGGCTCCTGGGCTTGAAGGAGTGCTGGGGAGTGGGGTCTGCTCCGGCGTCGTTGGGAGGGCACCGCTCGAGAAGGTCAAGAAGATGCGTGGCGGAGCTGCCATCGGCAAATCTCCCCATGACTCGCCTCGGCATCGGGTGTTGCTGTCTCGGACCCCTACACAAAACATCGTTGAAGAAACATCTGAAATCATGTGTTGACCGGGGGACGAAAAGGACCGGGCACAGTGACCACACCCGCCGGCATTAAATACTCTGCCATGGCCGGTATGGGACCGCGTGGAGGGTTTTGGATGGTATTGCACCTGTTTCTGCAGGGCTGCGGCGAATGCAACATCACGCCAACAGAAATCCTCTGGCAGCTGACACGGACTTACCCAAAGAGCCCAATACCCCTCCTTTCATGATGTGAATTAGACTGTTCTATAAGGGGTCTTAGGGTATCGATAGACCCTGCCTAGTTCTTAGTAGGAAATGGGGGAATGGATTATGGAGACCCTTAGTGGGGATTATATGGGCACTGCTTTAGGGATCCATCCCCATTCCCTACTAAGCGCCAGAAAGAAGAAGCCGGGGGCTGTTATAAGCCAACTTTTTACAAACAGGTATTGGCCCGGCATGGGCGCCATCTCGGCACGTCGCTCCCTGAAAAGTTGGGCAACAAAGCCGACATTCACGAACCGAAGGTTTAGGGTTTAGGGTCTCGTGGCTGCTAGAAATTTCTCCTGGCATGTAGCATACTCGACATCATGTGATGGTGAGTTCAAGAGTCCGGGCATGCTGCTCCGGGAGCTCGTCGCACCTGCCGTTTCCTAAACATCTCTCAGAGATGCTTCAGGCAACAACGCCATGCAGCTAAGATCGTCTGACTCAAAGTGCACGAGCTGACATTGCCATCAAGAAACGAAGGCAAATATTGAAGAAAACGCCGTGACTGAGTCTGCCCAGGTTGTGATACCCTCAGGGTGTAACACGCAGCAATTGACATTTTGGAGATCTGGCAAAGCACTACTTGGAGGCCCAGGGGATTTAGTAAGTAGGTTCTAACTAGGGTTATAATTGGGGTAACACCATTTAGGGTACTTATAACCGTACTTGTAACCTACTTACTAAGTCCCATGGGCCTCCAAGTAGGAAACAACTATGCATCCCTTGGCAAACTCCCGAATGACTGCGCTCGGGGTGTGAAACACTGGACCTGCAAAGGTGTCATTTAGGTACGGCCCCCATACAGTAAGAGTGTATAATAGGGCTACTATTAAGGTCCTACTATATCCACATTATGAATATTTCTCAACTATTGCTGAGTGGGGGCCGTACCCAAGGTGTCATAAAGTCGTGCCGGCCAATACTTCTGACAGAACATGACAGAACCGAACAATCCAGAGAAACATCTCTGTAACTAACCTTCACTGATCCCAGAACCCGAAACCAGGAATTCTGACCACGGAGTCCGAGATATGTGGGTGCTTGTCAAAAACAGGGCCCCTTTTTGGCTCATTGTTATAATACGGCACCTAATATTCAGGGTACCCAAAATTGGGACCCTAATTTTGACAACCACCCATGTATGAAAGCAAGCTGAACAGCTCAGATCGCTTCGCAGGACGCCGTGCTCTGCAGCTCGGGTACTGCAGCCAACATGTGTTATTTCGGGGACAAAACCATTAGAATAGCGTCCTATACTATCAGTCTTTTGCGGAATCTCAAAATTTGCATAGAGGGCTTTATATTAAAAAAGGCACCTTATGCTATAAGTCTTTTCGGAATCCCCTAATAGTATTGGTCAGTATTTGGGCTCCCGACATGAGGTTTCATCGGCCCTGACTTGGCAACTACTGAACCCGAAGCCACACGAGTGCAAATGAGCACAGGGACGAAGCGAGCTACAACCGGGCTGGTATTGTTTGCCCGAAAACGTCTCTGAGACAGAAACAGCAGCTTCCGACTTGGCTCGATCCGATGAACGTTCCGAACCATACAAAAATAGAAAGAACTATATGAGGGGCAGAAAGGGAATACTGTAAGTAATGGTTCCGACCCCTGTATTACGGGAATGCTGCAAGGCTGGCAGACCTGGGAAAAAACGGTCCGAGGACAGGAATCCCGTGGAGGGCATTAAGGGTTTAGTGTTTAGGGTTTAAAGCTTCGGGGTATAGGATTTTTAGGATTTTGGGGTTTAGGATCTAGGGCTTTGGGGTTTGGGTTTTAGGTGTTTAGGGTTTGGGCTTCGGGCTGCCAGCTCCCCGGATTGGTTGATCCAGCCTGTCGGTACGCTTGAGATGCCTCTAGGGGGAGTACGGGGTTTAGGGTTTAGGGCCAGCATTTAGGCCGCGTTTGGCTCCTAAACTTGGTTCTCCCAGTACGTGAAGAGGCCCTACGCTTCTTCTGAGACGGAGAAGCCTGTAAAGCTTAATTAAGCTTCCATTGCAGACGTTCAGGTTTTACCGAAGCACTATGAAGGTTTATCAAGCAGCTGGTTGGGCCTAGCAAGCTTCTTTGGAGGCTGCAACTAAGGCTAACTTTTGCGGAAGGCCTAGTAACAAGCCGGAAGCGCGGAAAGGCTCTCATCTACAGGGCAGAGCTGCGTCAGGGCAGGTCGTCTACAGGACCAGAGAAGGACCTGCTCCACCATGCCTTTGCAGAACATGCTTCTCGGTAGGTGTCAAAATTATGGTCCCTGTTGGGGTACCCTAAATATTAGGTGCCGTATTGTAACAAGGACCCAAAAAGGGACCCTAATATTGACAACCATGCTTCTGAGAACACTGCGGGTCTCACCAAACAGTACAAGTAGAAAGCTGGTAGCTACAGCACTTCTGGCAAGTATGGTGCGGTGGCAAAGGACCGCGGAGATAGGGAGAGCGGGAGAGAGGGAGCGGAGAGGGGGACAGGGGGTCAAGGGGGAGAGGGGAGAGAGGGGAGAGGGGGACAGGGGGTCAAGGGGGAGAGGGGAGAGAGGGGAGAGGGGGAGAGAGGGGAGAGAGGGGGAGAGGAGGGGAGAGAGGGAGCGGAGAGGGGAGAGAGAGGGGAGAGAGAGAGGAGGAGAGAGAGGGAGAGAGGGGAGAGAGGGGAGAGAGTGGAGAGAGGGGAGAGAGGGGAGAGAGGGGAGAGAGGGGAGAGAGGGGAGAGAGGGGAGAGAGGGAGAGACAGGCAGAGAGAGGGCGAGAGAGGGAGAAAAAGGGAGAGAGTGGGAGAGAGGGGAGACAGAGGGAGAGAGAGGGAGAGAGCGGGAGAGAGCGGGAGAGAGAGGGAAAGATTTGGTGCCGTTGGGATCTCACCGACTCCTCTGAGTAATGCAGCTTCGCGGCGTCACCACGGGAGGAGGCAATTCCCATTTGAGGCGATTTACTTCGGCTCGGATGTGAGGAGGCAGGCAGCGCATGCTGCTCTCCACAAGGTGCCTCGGATTGGAAATCTTGGAGTTATGCGCCACTCTGGAGGAACACTAGTCTGTACTGACCCGGCTCGCACAGTCTTGCCGCTCTTGTTGACGTACTGCGTGCTTTGAGACTTAGGGGGCATCCTTTGACGTCAGAAGTGCTGATGGAATTGATGGGATGAGAATGCATGTGACCTTCACTTTCGTTGGCAACTTGTTTGCTAAAAGACCAAGACATACCAAACAGATTGGGCCACTTCTCACACGAACGTCCAGGATATGCCAGGATGCACGAATGACATCCGCATGGGACGAAAAGTCCCCATTGGAATGGGCTCGCATTGAGCTCCTCGTACTTCTGCTTTGAGCAGCTTGATCAGACCGTCAACACGCGGAATGAGGCCTTCTTTCGCCGCTTTCTTGATGATAATCGGCAGGAAGGTCACGAGAAGCTCCTGGTCGCTTGCGGCAAGAAGACTCTGCCGTAGCTGCCAGTCTGGTTTGGGAATCGGACGGTGCGGGAAATGGCAGTAAGCACATGCCATCCCTCTTGGGCACACATGGCCTTTGGCGATGTGAACGCACGGTCTGCTGCAAAAGTGGGGGTGGCCGAAGCTGCCGATACCGAAGCGTAGGTTTTGTGCTTTGGGCAAGGGCGCTTCTGGGACTTCCAGACCTGGAGGTGGCAGGACCCCTTCAGGCCAGGCTCCTGGGCTTGAAGGAGTGCTGGGGAGTGGGGTCTGCTCCGGCGTCGTTGGGAGGGCACTGCTCGAGAAGGTCAAGAAGATGCGTGGCGGAGCTGCCATCGGCAAATCTCCCCATGACTCGCCTCGGTGTCGGGTGTTGCTGTCTCGGACCCCTACAGAAAATGGTTGCCTGACAATAACCGGCCTGGCGCAGCGACGACAGCCGCCGGCATTAAATACTCTGCCATGGCCGGCATGGGACCGCTTGGAACGTGTTGGATCTGTGGCAGCATGGCTGCGGCGAAAGCAAGATCACGCCCATAGAAATGGGGGTTTCCGAAAATGGGGTATCCTAATATAGTACCCTAAAGAGTAGGATCCTTATTCAAAGGACCCAAAATAAGGCACCCCTAGTTTTCGGAAACTTCCAAATCCTCCTGCGTAGACTGAGGCAGAATTCCCCACAGGCTCCCCTAGTCCATGAGTCCCCGAGGCTATGCACGGGAACTACATACTGATGTCTTTAATCTAGGGGCCTCAATAACTTACCGTAGGGTTGTGGGGCAGAGTATACTGTAATTATAATAAAGAACCCCACGAACCCTATTCTAATCATTAAGGCCCCTACAGTAAACTGCCGAAAGCCTGCTTCTTCTTGCGACGCTTTCTGGGCCCGCGAGTCCGCGCTTCATCGCCTTTGCCCAGGAGAACCTGCGCAAAGACGCCTTAATAACTGGAATATAGGGGTTCCTTTAAAGAGGTCTATAAGGTTATCATAAGGGTACTGTACTATAGTTCAAGGGCCTTGCTGATTAGAATAGGGTTTCGGGGTATACTATACCATCAGTAAGATAAGCCCCCAAAATAGTATAGATAATTGTTATTCAGGCCCCTATATTATAGGCAGACTTGTGATGCAGGGTGCGGGCTGCCAAGTACCGGCTGTCAGCAAAAAACTCTGAAGGGTCAGAAACCCTACTCTCACACTCTGACCCAGAGAGCCCAATACCCCCCTAAATAAAGAATATAGCTTAAATCATAATATGAAGCCCTGTATAATTTAAGCCATCTTTTTTAATTAAGGGGTATTGGGCTCTCTGGGGACTTCTGAAAACCCAGGTCCGGCGGGACCACCTGGGACAAAGTCCTGGTTAAGGTTCAGGGTTCAGGGTTTGATGTGAGGCCTTTGTAATTACTTCTACGACTTACTCTGAGGATTCCTTATTATATTTATATTACAGTGGGCGCCAAAGCCCTATTCTAATTATTAAGGCCCTTATATCATAGAACCTACTATAAATCCCTATAGACCCTTTTGAAGGACCCCGGAACCATTTAAAGGAACAAACCCCTATTCTAATTGTTGAGGCCCCTATATTAGGGCCTATAGCCCAAGTCCAAAGGGCCACCTGGGATGAAGTCGTAGAGGACGTCTACAAACTGCCGGTTCTCGGTGTCCTTGGTTTAAGGTTTAGGGCTTAGAGTTTAGGGTTTAGGGTTTGCCGTAGAGTGGCGCATAAGCAGAAATATCTGGCGACAATGTAATTTCGAGTTTGTCGTCGTATGACGATTCGTCGTCGGAGCCTGATTGTGGATTGCTCGTTCTTTTGATTCTCCCACCCAACGCCGTCTAAGGCGGCCAAACCGCCCGAACCTACTCCTTTTCGGGTTTAGCACCTAAACTCATTCCATGGTTTTCTCTCTTTCTCCATGATGAGAGCAGGCAGGGCAGGGCAAGAGAGCGGATAGGCCGCAGGGCACCGAGGCCCCAACCCCTCTGGAAGGGTCCCTTTCAGAATGAAAACCGGTACCTGCTTCTGGAAAGGCGGGCAGGCATATGTGGGTCGCTCTGCACCATCGAGGTCCAAACCCCTTAAGCGCCGCCCACCCTCACTAATTGGCGGCCTGTGCCTTGTAGGGTTTAGGGTTCAGGGTTTAGGGTTGGGGCAATGCAAGCGGCCATGTCGAAGCCGAAGATTTGCGGATGCCCTCGGGTGGCGACAAAGACCCTGATCTGCTAAGCCCGCAGCCGGTGGATGCGAGTTCTTCTTGACGTTGCGCCTTGATTTGGGAACCGCTCGCGTCTAAATGAAAGTTTCCGAAAATAGAGGTACCTTGTTTTAGGGTCCTTGCAGTAAGGATCCTACTATTTAGGGTACTATGTTATGGTTCCCTATTTTCGGAAACTCCCAAACCTCCGACGCAAGTAGTTCTGGGTCGCACTGCACTTGCTTGCTGTGGCGAATTCTAATCTTCTGAGGCATGACAAGCAAGCTGGGCCTTGTCGTGAAACTATACGGTTCGGGCACCCTTTGCAAGAGGTCTGAAACAACCCTGGTGGGCTGAAACAGAGGCTGAGCCTGCTGCAAGGGAAGAGAGTGGTCCTCTCACCGTGGAGACATACTCCGGGGGTGCCATGTCTAGGGGCTTCCATAGGGGTTTTTGGGGGTTTTTAAAGGGTATCGGACCTTCTCTCCGCAGAGGTCTGTCTTGGGTTTTTGGGTTTAGGGTTTAGAGGATGTTCAGTGTTCCCGGCTTCAGGTTGTCGATTTAGGGCACTTTCAAGCGCATGCCTGATGCTTGCTGAGAACTCCATCGTGCGATAACCCCACCCTAAACCCCAAAACCCGAAACTCTAAACCGTGGCGATAAGAACCCACTTGAGTGAGCAGAGGGACCAATGGTGCTTCAATAGGAGTTAGGATTAGCGGGACCCCTGTGGATGTAGAGGAAGGCTCCTTTAAAGGGTTCCCTTAAAGAGATCCTTCAGGGTTCTATAATGGGGGTTCTAGGATTGGGAGTTGGGATTAGGGGGATTTCCGAGGAGATCGGCCCCCCTTTCTAGAGAGCCAGAAGTAGAATTAAGAAGGGTCCCCTTTCTAGGGTCTTCCTACTGCTACCTAGGATTCCAGGGGGACAGGCTTAAATGGAGTAGCCATGGTCGTTGCTCTGTGGGGTTAAGCATAGAGTGCTAATACTGGTATCTTAATGCATTGGCGCAGGGTTTTGGTTCTTCTAGGAGCAAACTATCTACGAACTACAAGGGTGTACTTTTCCTGGCTTTTCGCCCCTATGTTACACGTTCTTCAAGCCTTTACACAACTTAAAGAGGGGATGGATGCGGTGACTGGGGCAGAAGAGTGGCTGTGGAAAAGGATTTAGGGCCTAGGGCTTATGGTTTCAAGTCTCTGTTAAATCAATTGTATTGAGCAATTGAGCCTGGAGCATGATTGCCCCGACGCTGCTGATACTTTGGAACTCCAAAGAACAAAATTACACGACATCAATAGCAGGAGCGAATAGACGCAGATGACCGTCAGCCTGATCGCCGTCACGTCAAGCAGTCATCAAGGTCAACACGATTGTCACCATGACATCATCACTTTGTCTCTGCTAACACCATCGCCATCATCAGCATCAACAACAACGGCAGCAGCAGCAGCAGCAGCAGCAGCACCACCAGAACGAGCACCACCACCAGCACCAGCACCATCTTCACCTTCGCGAGCACTATCCCTAGTACACGACTATCCCTTCATCTTCAGATTTAGGTCGTGAACACATTCTCACCATCATCACCATCATCAACGACAACATCGTCATCATCATCATGACTACCAGTATTATCATGATCGCCACTCTCGGGTGCGAGCTCCTGGCGGCCGTTGCCACCACCATCCCCACCACAACCACAACCACCACCAGCACCAGCAGCAGCGACAGTGACAATAACCTCATGTACCGTACCAGGTAGCACCGCAGAGCTACATCACAAGGCTTTGGCACCTCCCTTTACCCGCTCCTCCTCGTGCAGCAAATCTGTGCGAACGAAAAAGGCGTGCGAGCCCATCTCCTGACCAGGGATCGCTGGGAAGCCGTAGGGATTTGGGGTTCAAAGCTGACCATCACGAAAGACGGCACTGATGCTGCTTGGAAGGTATCGCCAACCGCGACGGTAGCATCATTAGCGACTACAGTATCGTTGTCATCATCAGCATCGTCGCAAGCAATAACAGAAACAGCGTCCGCCATCACCGTCATCGAAGTCGTCATCGTCAGCATCAGCATCAACATCATCATCATCATCATCATCATCGTCATCGTCCTCATCATCATCATCATCCTGATCACCGAAATCGTTTTCATCAAGCGCTGAGCAACGCCTGAACATGCAGAAGCACGACTGAACAGATGGATACTTGCATCCCATGCAGAAGTAGGAACTTCAAAGATCCCTTAGTAAACCATGAAGTAGACACTGAACCCCAAACTTCTAAACCCTTAGACCATGTAAGAGTACCAACAGGAGCCCCTAAACGCCTTGGCAGCCTGAATGCGAGGGAGCCCAAGAGGCACAAAGACATGACATCAATAACAGTAAGACCAAGAAGAGTAAGAATAAGAATAAGCATAAGAATATGACAGCAATGAGAAGAATAGAGATAATGACAGGAGCGATGACCACCATACTAAAATTCATGATAACGGATATTCCAATAATAGCAATACTAGCAACAATGTTCGAAAAAGTAACAACAGGAATAACAGTGCGAATCGTCACAGCAGCGATAATAGCAATACTGCCAAACAAGGTACGCATACTAATCTATGTAAAAGGTACTCATGGTCATAACAATCACAATACTGTTAGTGATAATAACTCGAGGGCAATGATCGGAAAAGCAATGGAAAGAATCAAGCAACACGATGACAGTAGAACCAGTCGTCGAGGTCGTCGTCGTGGTCGTGGTCATCGTGTCGTGGTCGTCGTGGTGATCGTGGTCGTTGTGGTCGTCGTGGTGGTCGTGGTGATCGTCGTGGTCGTGGTCGTGGTGGTGGTCGTGAGACTTGAGCTGGGTTCGTCCGGTTTAAGCTTCAGTGATTCAAATCCTTGAGGTTCAACGTTTTGGGTCCGAGCACACAGCCTAACTGATCCTGGCTTTCGCGAGGCGTAGTACCTTGAATTCTGCTAAACCCTTGACCCTGACGGCAACCCCTCAACCCCGAACCCTCACCCCAAAACCCTCAATCACCATTGACCCTAAAACCTAAACCCCCGAACCCCGAACCCTACTAAACGTAAACGCATATGGCAGCCCGTCCAGCGCGTAGGCGAAGGAGTAGCCGAAGCTGTGGGCCATCAGCGCATAGGCGAGAAGGGAGCCTGTGTGGCTCATGGGTTCAAGGGGTTTCGGGTTCAGGGGGTTTAGGAGTTCAAGGGGTTTAGGAGTTCAAGGGGTTTAGGGTCCGGATTCAG